CCGTGCCCTGGAGTCTCTGCCCAGCCCTTCACCAGCTGCGGCAAGGACCTCCCGTGCCCTGTCCCCCAGGATGGTTAGCAGTTAGTCCTCCCGGTGGGAGGACTGCAGGCCAGGGACAGCAGAGGGCAGCTCTGGCTCACTCCCCAGGCCCTGTCCCTCTGGACAGGACCAGCGAGAGTGCTCGCAGCCAGCAGGAGGTCTGGGGGGGCCTCTCTGCAGCCCCAGAAACGCAAGGGTTGGAGAGTTGCGCTGAAGGAACCTGCAGGGAGCCTGGTGGTGGGTTGGGCCCTCACTGCCACTCCATCCCTGGCAGTCCCTCCTCTGGGAACGGGGTGGGGGCAGTAAACACCCCACCACGGGGCGCCTGTGGGGCATGAAGGTGGCGGGGAGAGGCCAGCGGCTGGGGCATTCCCACTAGTGGCCTGAGACTAGGCAGGGGCGGTGGGGCAGGTCGCCCCTTTCCTGTTCCTCTGTGCCCCGGCGCCTCCCCTCCCGTTCCTGACCGCGGTGTTAATGTGGGAGGCAGGCGGGGACCCACCTGGGCCAGGGCTCTGCACCCCAGGCCTGAGTTTCGCTTGCACAGCCCACCCACTCCCATCTCCCCGCCAGGGCTTCGGCCTCCAGCCTGCCCCAGAGCTCAGCCCCGTCTGTGGCTGGACCCGCTGAACTCGGGTGGGCGGGGCGGGAGGAAGCTGACCTGGCCGGTCCCTCCCGCCTCCCTCGCAGCCGCCAGCCTGCTGCAGAGCGCGACCGCCTGCCACCGCCGCCCCCTGCGCGCATCCCGTGACCTTGACGGCGTGGGCAGGCCCCCGCACCGACCGCTTATCTAAATAGGGCAGTAAATCAGGACCTGTCGGGCCGGGTAATTACAGGAACTCCATAAAAAGGACCCGGCCGGCCGCCTGTTTATATTAGCGCGGTGTAAAATATTCTCCCTGTCTTGGAGAGTCCCGTCCCGCGCTAACGCGCCATAAATCAGCGCGGGCCATTTACCCGCGGCTCGGGCGCCCAAGCCCCTTAAACATTTCTCTGCCGCATCTACAGAGCCAGGACTTTCCAGCCCGACCCAACTGCGCCCTGCGTGGCGCACCCAGGGCCGGGGAGCTCCCAGGGCGGGCGCCGGGCTGGAGCGAGGTTCCCGGAAGCGGCAGGGAACAAGGACTGCCGGGCAGGGGCAGGGGCAGGGGCAGGGGCAGGGGCAGGGGCAGAGGTCCTGCGCAGGCTTCTGTTTGCCAGACGCTGGGAGGGAAGGACTGCGCTCGCCAGGATCCTCTGCGCTCCGGAGCCTGCGCGGCCCTGGGAGGCGGCTGTGAGCCCCTCTGGGTCGGGCTGGCTGGGTCCCGCAGTTGACAGGCCACACAAACTGAGCCCAGGGGCCTCCCTGAGACCGCAGCGGTGAAGCTGACCCAAGCGCAGCCTGCAGCCCCGTGAGTTCCTCCCCGCCAGGGGCCTGGCCCAGCAGACCCGACAGAGGGCCCTCGGCGGACAGCGGACAGCTGTCCATCGGCCTGTTCTGCTCCCCGCTCCTGAGTCCTCTCACCCCCACCCTCTCATCACCCCCCACCGGTACCCCGCCTGTACCTGGCCTGCACCCCCAGTTCTTGTATCAATAAATAAATCTTTTTAAAATTAAAAAAAAAGCCCAGAGCTGCAGCAACTTGCCCAAGAGAACGGGGAGAAACTGGAAACCCCTTTGCCCCCTAAAATAATGCATTCCAGAGTCTGCCCCCACACCTCTCCTAAAGAGGCTCGTGGGGAGATGCCTGTGGGGGGCAGCCGCAGCCACTCTGAGGCCTGTAAGAGCCCCCCAGTCCCCAGACCTGCTTAGGGCGACCGCCCAGCCGTGGTCCTCTGACCAAGACATAAATCGCGGTCTGGAAAAAGAACCTTAAATTGTGCTGTCTGTCTTCCCTCTGGGCTGGGACCTGAGCGTCGTTGGGGTGAAGCCCCCCTCCGCTCCCTCTCTTCCGAAGCCCCAGGATGACAACATGTTTACACAAGTTTTTATGTCCTGAGTTTCCTCCCGGCTCCGCTTCCTCCTCTGTGTATTTTCCGCGAAGAAAGATGTCTGTGGCGGACACGTTCAACCTAAACAGAACCCCGTCTAATTGGAAAATGTATTTATTTGAAAAATCGTAACTCACAGTTTTGGTGAAATGGCCCAAATTTATGGGATCGCTTGGGGCGCGGGGCTTCTAAATCAGGGCGCAGGACGCGCCGGTCCAGCGGCCAGCGGCCTGCAGGGCCTG